CCTGAACATTCAATTTTTTTCTGTCTTCTCGTGTTGTGTTGGCAGACCGGTGAAAAGTGACTACCGGCGACTAATGGAACACATCGCACAGCCTGGACACGGGATCAACTGGAAGGCAACAGAAGGAAGGGCCCCATACGGTGACAACACAAGGAAGCGGAAGATAAGGGAGACCATTGACATCCTTGGGCAGAAAAATATAATGAACAGGAGATTGAAGGAAGGTAGAGATAGCGATAACTTTGTCTACTGCCTAAACAAACATGGGAAAAACAAGAATAGAGCAAGAACAGCAAAAAGGAGGCCTCTGGAGACGCTCTTAGTGAGTGTGGTCTGTTCGAATAAGCAACTACAACTTTGGGGGCCCGACGTTTCACGTGACTAGGGGGACTGATTGGGTCGCAGCAATTGGGCATTATCACCAAATTGATAAATAATCCTCTTAAGATTCAGTGGGCAACAGAGTAGATGCCCACAGTTTGCTCTGGGTATACGGGCTCAATCTAAGAGTTGATGTTTGAAGGCAAAGCCTAATATCGGCAAACATGGGAATCAGAGCCTAGGCGTTCTGCAGATGAGGCGACTTTGCACATACTACTGAAGCCTTGAGAAATAGCACCTGGAGTTAGAAGTACACTGGAGCTGGAACCGAGTGAAGTCAATAAACTAAAAAAAGATAAGAAATGGACCTAAGGGTCTATGCGGCAGGTCCGGACAGGAAGCTCGAGTTGGATCAGCCACTCGAAAGTGAAGTGGGCAAGGATAAGGCAGGTGTGGTGACGCCACGGTAAATTTGCCAAAAGGGCACATCTCTTGTGGAATATAAACATGTCAGAAGTTATTATAGGACAGGGGCGAGACAAGAGGGTAGGAAATGGATAGAACGACCAAGACAAAACGGGAAATGTTAACACAACCGTTTCGACAGAAAGTTAGTCAAGGGGTTGACTTCGCTTGTCTATTTGACAAGTTGTTCTATGGTCCTGAGACTAGCAAGACTCACTGACGAGGCCGGCGGAACGTCTGGGAATGTACCAAGCCGACGGTCTGACTCTGGGAATTATCATGCATAGTATGGACTCCAGGCAAGGTGCGCTCCCATAGGTCTTCCTACCAATATGACCAAGTTGCGAAAATGAGGTCAAATAGCTACTAACCCAACTTTGTTGAAGAGACTTTCATTTCGCATGACATTGCATAATGAAGAGTTTCATCGGTCGATCTAACTAGAAGGTGATGTGTGATTCCTGTTGTACTGCAGCCGTTTGGCTTTAACACAATGTTCATGTATATGTATTCTCATAAGAAATAAAAGTCTGCAATAATTGTATCTTTAGAGATTCATCGAAACCCAGTTACTCTTGCTATCTATACTGCAACTTTGTATGTTATTCGGATGAAATGGCATAATTATGTTGTTGTCCCTTTAGTTCTGCTTTTCAAAAGAGGCAGTTTCTGTTGACCTATATTATGGGCATACAAATGATCATTAAAAT